ATTTTCAACGACGAAAGTCATATTTAGAGCCGAAGTACTGTCCAAATTAATATTTTAGCCCCCGGTTATTTCACGGTGAGTTTAATATATAGAAATAATTGTATGTTATGTGTTATATGTGCTACGTGTTTTTGAGTGTTATTATTCCGGGTTATTTTCCCGGGTTATTTTTATTTGCTATTTTTAATAGCAAAGAAATACCTTTGACCATGTGATTAGTGAAAGGACTTATATTCACGTTGGTACTGGTATGTAGCCTCTGACCATGTGGAACATGTCTCCGTAAGAGAATGAATTCTATTCTATGGTAGTGGCAGAAGGTTAGACAGGGCTATAAGCCTGAAATCTACCGAAATGTTAATCCGAAGTTGTATATCCTCTGTGCCGTTTGGGCCAAAGCTTTATTGATGTATATCAAGCATGTAAATTGTTATGTCTCATTGATTGTATGTCTTTAAATCTAATCAATGATTGATATGGAATGTTTTGTCACATGATTCACATATGCCCTTGTTCTTCCTTGTTCCTCTTTGCTTCTGCCATATTAAAGTATATATATGGTATAACATTATATTGTATCTATTATTGAACTCACTAAGCGTCACCGCTTACCCTCTCGATGTTTAACAAATTGCAGGAGATAAACATCCAGTATAGTTATATACTGGTAGAAGATTTTTGAATAGTTTGAAACTTTTGTATCGATAGAAGCTTATGAATAGTTTGAAACTATTGTATTTTGCACTCCCATATGTATAAAACTATAGAATCCTGAGAAGTTATGTAATATATAACACTTTAAAATAGTCGGTTTGTATCCAGTAGTTTGTAATCTCTTTATCAATGTAAAATATTGTTTTTATGAATATGCAAGTAACATGTTTTGAAGTAATTATATTGTCGAGTATGAAAGTTTGGGTATTTCATAAATACGAAAGTTAGGGTCTTTCATAGCATGTGTTGGAGTAAAAATGTCAAGTATGAAAGATTGAGTCTTTCAATAAGAGACGAATCTTTATTTAACAAATGCCCATATTTTTTACAATAATACCTCGATGTTATTGTTAACTCATGATTACATTCATAAAACATAAACGAATTAAAACAAAAGAATAAAAAATATATTTTAAATGGGTAACAATAGTATAAAAACCTTTAACAATGAACGAGCTTTTAAAAGAAGTCATTTTCTAAATCTAAAAAAAGAACGTAATTTAGTCTTTATTTTAACATTTGTCTTCAGTTTTCAACATTCACATACATGTTAACTCTAACTATTTTACAAAAGTTAACTAGTTTTGATCATTTGTTTTTGTTATTAGATCGTATGGTTAAGTTACTTGTTTAGATCATATGCTTATTATGGATCATATTTAATTTGTTAATCCTACCTCACTCAATCATCTCTTATTATTTGTTTTTTTTACTGAATCATATGGTTCAATCTCTTATTGTGGATTATATGTTGATGATTGTATAATACATAATCTTTTAATTTCTTATGTTTATGTGCACACCTAAATAAAAATAAAAAGAGGTTGTCATTTCCTAGACAATTAAATAAGAAAAATGTTATCAACCCAAATGTACACATCTTATATGGCGATATTCATGCTAAATAGTGATTTACTTTGATTGATTTATTTTGTTTTCCGTTCAAATTCAACACAAAATCATCATATATGCTTTTAACCCTTACGAACGACTATACCAACAATTAGATGGATTATTGGAGCTTACCATAAGAAAATAGATATGATTGAGCATTTTACCAAATTTCCCATGACCTTGTGTTAAAAATCCCTAGGTCATGGTTGTATAATTTTGAAGACATGTATTTCCTCAAGCCATAGACTCTTGAGCGTGTTTTATACCAAACTTTCCCCAGGTTGTGGGTTTGCGCATATTCTCATATAAATGCAATATCCTCCTCTATTTTGGCATATGATTTTCTAGCTTTCTCTCTAGGGTTTTAGGGGGGATTTTACCCATATTTTCCAAGTTTTTGGGACTATTTTGCAAAGGAGTACTCCAAAGTTAAGAGGTTTAAAACGTTAGAGTGCATTGTGAATCTTCATCTCCATCTTCTCCATTAAGATTTGCTTAGGTTAAATTTTCCATTTATCACTTATTTATTTTCATTCGATTTTTCTTAGTTTACTTATGATTAACATGATTTAATCCATTTTAGTGTTACTAGAAGAGACTACATTGACTATATTGCATTGGGTTTGGTATTTTGATGGGTTTTGTCTTTTATTCATCCTTGTGATGTCTAAATCTAGGGTTTGCTCTTCATTTTGCTTATATTGATGTTTGAACTCAAGTTATTGTTGGTTGGTTAATGTAATGTACGGTGAAAGTAATTAGCTAATGATTTTATTACAATTGTCTACGGCTATGAGTTTCAAATTATGACAACTTATGATTGAATTTGGGTTTTAAACATTGTTTGGCCATTTTTTATATTAAATTGGTGTTCAAATGAACATTTGGCACTTTTGTGTGTTGGAACATAACATAGATATATCTTTGTGACAATAACTATTATGGACAACTTTGAGGGTTTTATCTAAAGGTTGATTGTTTAAAATAAGGAAAACCTCGGTTTTAAGCTCTTATGAACACTTAGCCATTTATTGTGTATGTTGCAAGTACAAATGTTAAATACTCCTAAATGTTTTGTGATACACTCTTTAGAATACGTTCTAACTTGGAACTATAAATGTTTTGAAGATTTGACTTTTTCTTATTGCTAATCCATTAATCAATCAAATCCTTACAAGTTACAATGTTAGGGGTCGTTTGATAGTTGCTGATTGAGAAAGTGCTGATTGAGAAAGGTCTGTCTGAGTAATAAGTTCTGAGTGAGTAAGAAACTATGCTGTTTGATTGTACATCTGAGTGAATGTACTGACTGATGCAAAATGACCATTTTACCCTGATGCTCTTTATAATAATAATAATAATAATAATAATAATAATAATAACAATAATAATAATAATAATAATAACAATAATAATAATAATAATAATAATAATAATAATGTATACAAAAACTTCCAGCATAATAGACATTAAATATATTATTTTAGAGATTAAAACACAAAAAACCCTTTAGCTTGCTGGTAAACATCATTATATTTATAAGGGGGACCCGAGTTCAATTCTTGTAACCTCCTGTTTCACTTGTTTTTATCCAAGGCCAAGGGTATTATTGTAAAGTCTTACTTTCTTTCTCAGTCAGCCTCCTCCCAACTCCTTTCTCAGTCAGACACTTCTTACCGAGTCAGATGGCCAAAGTTGGATAATCAAACACATTTTGCTGACCGAGTCAGCCAAAAACGTCTGACTTGACTCGGTCAGACGCATATCAAACGGGGCCTTAGTTGATTGTTGTCAAATCCTTACAATAGGGGGTCAGAGTTGATTAGTAATATCATTGTACTTTAGTAGCAAAGTAAATCAATTAGCAATATCATTGTAGTTTAGTAGCAAAGTAAAAGATGATAGCAAGGTACATAATTGGTGTGAAAATGATTAGCAAAATAATGTACTTCAATATGATTGCAAATAGTAACAATTTACATTATTTGTAATTATCAATCGTTAAGGATGAGAAACAGTGACTAGAGACAGGAAAAAAACACAGTGTTTTCTTTTTGAAAAAATTTGTCATATAAACAACCACGTGACATGTCAGGACAGAAATTCACATCATCTTGTTAAGGTTCGTTGCAGTTACAATGATGAAATTATGACAAAATAAAAATAGAATGAAATGACTAAAATGAAACAAAAAAAATATAGGTCCAAAATGGAAACATGCACAATAGTTCCATGAATTATTTCGGACTTTTTATCTTTAAATAATTAATTATAATATTGATTAGATCATGTTGGTAAAAGAATCAAGAATGCTTACTTTTCTTACATACATATTCCGATGTTAATTTGTCATCTTCAACAACAGTTAACGATGATTCAAGACGTCGATGATATAATCAATGGGTGGTTGACTATTGTGCTCAATAGTTAAAGTCGGTGAGAAGAATCCACATGCATGATAACTCTTGACATGGACTTTGTGAAGGAGTCACTTTCATGGATTTTCACAAACATGTCTCATTTCAAAAATACATTTGCTTGGGTAATTTTGGTCACTGATATTTACTCATTCAACTTGTTAAACTGTACACATTCAGTCCTTATAACCGATTATTTTAGGTTAACTAGTAAAAATGTTTTAATCGGGTAATATATTTTTCATTTTGTACACATTTAGTCCTTAAATTTTTTTTTGTTGCAATTCTTTTTTTGTACTCATTCAATACTTATGAATGTTTTCTTTAAGTTTTTCTCACAACATCTTACATGGAACAATCATTAACGAAGTGTTATAGACTTTTGATGCTTATGTCCATCGCGATCTCGATTACTTGGTTGTTTAGGTCATGTGTTTTGAACATCATAACTTTTTCATACTATCTCGGATTTTAATGATCTTTATATCTATGTGTTTGTATTTTAGTCTACTACGACTTTAGTTTAGATTACTCTCTTTAAAAAGTAATATATTTTTTAATTACGAACTTTATATCCATACGTTTTTTATGAATGCATTTATGGATGTTTTTTTTTTATATAAAATCGTAAGTAAAAACATATTATATTTTAACGGGTGTAATCTTAACGAAAGTTATAGCAGACTTAAAAAACGAACATGTAGACATAAAGATCGTTAAAATTAGATATCATATGAAGAAGTTACAACGTTCGGAATACAAAACCTAAGTCAAACCACAAGACCTAAGCAACCAAGCAGTCGAGGTCGCGATGAACATAAACATCAACATCCTCAAACACCTCAGCAATCAGGGGTGTTGCCGGTCCGTAGTAGGTGTTGCCAGTAAGTAGAAAAAAAGAAAAAAATATCAAAAAATTTACACTGCATACAGAAAAGCAGGGGTTGTCGGTGCCACTGCGGGCACCCAAAGAGAATGATCCCTATCATCAATGATAGTCTCATGTTAGATATCGTGAGAAAAACTTTAAATAAATCATTCATAAGTACTGAATTTGTACAAAAACAAAAAATGACTTGTTTTTAAACAAAAAAAATTAAGGACTAAATGTGTACAAAAATATTAAAGAATAAATGTATACAAAATGAGAAATATATTACCCTAATAAATCACTTTTCCCGGCTAACCTGGAGTAACCGGTCATAAGTACTGGATATGTACAGTTTAACAAGTTGAAGAAGTAAATATAAACGAAAAAAAAACTCAAACTCAGTAACCAAATGTATACAAATCAAAAAATATATTATTTTTTTAAGTCATTATCCCTTCCAATAACCACATAATATTATTTAACGTTATATTTAGCCCAATAGATTCTATCACTAAAGCCCACTTGTTTAAGAAAACCAGGCTCATTTGGTAATGTCAATCATAAGCCCATAAACATGAAAGAGGAAAAACAAACCCTAGAATTACAAAACCCTATTTCCCCTTTTATTTTCAGAGTTCGATAGTTTATACTAGTAAAAGGCGGCCCCCTCCCGCCGGTGACGCTTCCGGTGATCAAACTTTTCCGAGCTGCACATTCACCACCGTAAGTTTATAATTCTTTCTCGCATCATCGTATTCTTGATTAGTGCATATATGATCAAATCGTTCTGTGTTGTATTCTCATTCAGTTTAGAAATCATTTCATTTAGTTCATGATATGTAGATTATCTGGATTTATATCTGCAACCTTTTGCGATTGTTCTTAGTACTCGATGATTGTAGTTAGGTTTTTTTACGATGAGAGAACATCGCGTGTCTAGATTTTTGTAATGAATTTATTGTTTATATGAGAATTTGTAGTGTGAAGAAATGGTTGAAGATACAAAATTAGGACAATTGGTTCCTGAATCTGTATTGAAGAAGCAAAAGAGAAGCGAAGAATGGGCTTTAGCAAAGAAGCAAGAAACTGAACTTGTGAAGAAGAAGAATGCTGCAAACAGGAAATTGATCTTCAATAGAGCCAAACATTACACCAAAGAGTATGAAGATCAGGTATTCATTCTCATTTCTCCTGTTTCTTTATATAATCATTTCCCTCAATTACTCATGAATTTCATCATAAGCTCAGCAAAAGGAGCTAATTCAATTGAAACGTGAAGCAAGATTGAAAGGTGGATTCTATGTTAACCCAGAAGCCAAAATGTTGTTCATCATTCGTATCCGTGGGTAGGTGTTCAAATAAACCCATTTTTTTTTTTTTTTTAATAATATTTATAATTACATAAATATAAATTTTCTTGTGCACAATGTCTAGTATCAACGCAATGGACCCTAAATCAAAGAAGATTTTGCAGCTTTTACGTTTGAGACAGGTTTATTATTATTATTTTTACCCAACAAAAAAATTACTAAATTTTCATTATATTGATCTCTTATATTTATTTATATATTTACATAATTAGATATTTAACGGAGTCTTCTTGAAAGTCAACAAAGCAACATTAAACATGCTTCACAGAGTAGAACCATACGTTACATACGGGTACAAATCTTTACAATTTATAATTATAAATAATTATAACACATTCCCATTTTTAAAAATTATTACAATTTCCAATTTTGTTAAGGTATCCAAATTTAAAAAGTGTCAAGGAGTTGATTTACAAGAGAGGATATGGAAAGCTCAACAAACAAAGAATTGCACTCACGGATAATTCTATTGTCGAACAGGTTTGTTCATATTGTTATTTTTCACTTTATTGAATTTTATTATTTATTATATTTTAATGTGAGTTATTATATTTATTTTATAGGGTTTGGGGAAATTTGGGTTGATTTGTGTGGAAGATCTGATACATGAGATTTTGAGTGCGGGCCCACATTTTAAGGAAGCGAATAACTTTTTGTGGCCGTTTAAGTTGAAGGCGCCTCTTGGTGGGATGAAGAAGAAGAGGAATCATTATGTGGAAGGTGGTGATGCTGGAAATCGTGAAGATTATATCAATGAACTCATCAGGAGAATGAATTAGATTTTTGATAATATGTTTTTGTTTTGGTGAAATGTTGTTATTTGGAAATTTTGGAATTTATTTATGTTTGGTTTATTCATTTGCATGTTTTATGTCATTATTCGTGTGTTGGTTTTTATTGATATGGTCTGAGTATTTTTGTTGTTTTTATTTAGGGGTTTAGAGTGCCTAGAGGGATTAGACCGAAAGCGAAATTGGGTTGTTGTGCAAACGGGAAGCCAAACCGAATGTATAATTCTGGTTCGGGTTTGGGCTTTTGGTGTCAAGATCGAAGTATGACCAAATGATAGTTGTATATATGTTGTATAGATGTTTTGCCTTTTTTTTTTTAATCTTTATGTTCCCGGTTTTTCTATTTTCGTAAAAAAAGACTAAAAAACAAATAAAGTTTTTATGAATATAAACAAAGTTGATATATGGTTTTATATATTGTTACAAATAAAAAAGATAAAACTTCAAAAATGGTCCTTATTGTTTTTAAAAATATCAAGTTTAGTTTTTAAGTTTAAAAATCTCACAGATGGTCTTTATGTTTTCAAAACTTTTAACATTTGGTTCTTCTGGTTCGCTCTGTTAGCATTTCACCATTAATTCATTTTTTAATATATTGTAGGGGTAATTTCGTCATTTTAATTGTAACCTCTTCTCTTTAATATGAAATGGTTACCTATTGTTTGCACGTCACTACCCGTCTCTCTCCCAAGAAGATAACTAGTTACATTTGTATTCATCGGGTTCATTCTCATCGTAGAAGCAAGAACAAAAATTGCGATTTAGGGTTTTAAGTTGTAGGGATTGCAATGGTGCTATTAATATGGTGTTTTCTAGAAAAATTGTAAACGTGGAGGACTTGGGAAAAAGATACGATACAATACTACAACAAAACTTGTTTTTTCTTGGTCGATTGTGTTCACATAGAGAAATCATTGATTTTACTCTTTTTTTTTGTGTTTGCAGAAGGATATGACAACTATTTCACGTTGAAGATACACTACATTGGTGTCTTCACCAAAGCACCTGGAAGGAAATACGTTGATGGTGTTGTAGCATATGTAGATGATGTTGACACTGATTTATTTTCAGTTCATGAGCTTGACGACATGATCCGAGAACTAGGGTACAAAACTGAGCAAACCCTTTACTACCATTTCTGTATCCCTGAATACCCTTTGGACTATGGATTAATGTCTTTAGTTAATGACCAAGATGTACTTAAAATGGTATCATATGTCCCTAAACACAGACTTATTAGGGTGTATATTGAAACTGGTCAGACAAAGGTAGCTAGTTATTACAAGTCTCCTTCTAAAGTTGTTATTGAAGAGTTGGAGCTTGATAGCGTATCACCTGAAATGAATAGAAAGAAACCTTGTAGGAGAGAAGCAGGATCATGTAGTAGAAAGCTTGATCTAAACAAGTCTATGAACCCTGATTATGAGCAGTCACAAGTATTAGATGTTGATGAAGGGCATGATTACTCAAAGAGTATTTTGCCATTTATAAGGTCACAAGCTAGCAAACAAAGTCATGTCATTCAAGAGGAAGTGGTGAATCGTGAACTTGAAACTCAAGAAGAAGTGATCACTAGTGCAGTTGAAATTGAAGAACCATTGGGAACTTACCATGTACAGGAACCAAGCTACCAAGCTGATGATGGAGCTAATACTGCAACAGTTGATGACTATGAACCATTTATAGAGGATTACTCACTTTATGCTGATTATGATGTTGAGTTTAATGTTCAAACTTCATTTGAACAACAACCATAAGTGGATTATCTAGAGGGTATGGTGAGTGATGATAGTGGAGAGGCTTTTTATTCTGAGAGTGGCCATGGTTCTGAGGATAGTGGAGATGATTCTGATGACCGTGAATACAATGTGGATGAGTCTAACATACAATTTGATGTAAATGTAGACATGAGGGAATTCCATAATGTTGTTGATATAGATGAACATGGAATCTTGAACAATCATTCAAAAGATGAAGGTAATGACATGGTTGATGATGAGTTGGAAGTTATTGCCACTGATGATTATCAATTTGCGGGATTTCATGAAGATGATAGGAAGGGAGTGCTAAAAGAGTTGAGTAAGTCAAGTACATGCTCACATGGAGAGGTTCATGTAAAACCATTTCAGATTGGCCATGTCTTCAAAACCAAGTGTGATGTTAAAAACTACATGAACTCACACGTTGTAGCAACAAGGAGGTCTTTATACCTAGCAAAAAATGACAAGATCCAGATTAGGGTGAAATGTAAAGGTGTTGTAAGTAAGCCATCTAAAGTAGTTGATGATGGTGGGCCCTCAACTAGAAGTAGGGCAAAGCGTAAGGGTAAAGATGTAATTACCAATAAAGGTACATGTCCATGGGCAGTCCAAATATCGAGGGCTAATGAAAATCAGGCTTGGTTGGTGAAAACAGTACATGATGAGTATAAATGTTTGCAAACAAGGGCGGTTAAAACTTGCACTTCCGGATACGTAGCAAACTTAATTGTTAAACAAATTCAGAGTAACCCTAAAATTCCAGTGAAAGCTTTACACGAAGAGTTGTGCAAGAAACTAGAGGTAGGAATGTCATTGCAAAAGTTTGTTAGGGAAAAGTCAATGGTTGAACGTATCATTAGTGGGGACTACCAAGTACAGTGTGGATTTTTGAGGGATTATGTGTTGGAGCTACTCGACACTAATCCTGGTACAACAGTTCGGATTGATGTGTATCCAGAAACCTCCCTATCTATTACCACAAGAACTTTTAGAAGAATATATGTCTGTCTGGGTGCACTGAAGTTAGGATTCAAATCTGGGTTAAGAGATTTTCTAGGTCTCGATGGTACTTTCATGAAGGGCCCTTACCCTGGGGAAGTGTTAACTGTTGTAGGGTTGGACTCAAACAATGGCATATACCCTGTAGCATATGCGGTGGTAGAGACAGAATCAACAAGTAGTTCGACATGGTTCTTGGAACTGTTAGGAGAAGATCTGGATCTAGGAGCAATTTCAAACTTTACATTCATTTCTGATAGACAAAAGGTGTGTATCACCTAACTTTTTTTAGTACCATTTCTAAACACATTTGGGTAACTGATGTTGCATACATTGACTTTTGTTTAGGGAAAAATACCAGCAATGGAAAAGGTATTCCCTAGTGCATAACACAGGTTTTGTTTAAGGCATATCCAGGAAAACATGAAGAAACAATGGAAAGGAAAAGACTTAAGTGACCAGCTATGGGAGTGTGGTAGAGCAACAACAGTCAATCATTTTAACAGAGCAATGGATGAGTTGAGGAAGATCAATGAAGAGGCTCATGCTTGGGTGTGTAAGATCCCACCAAACACTTGGGCTAAATCTCACTTTAGTGGTAAGTTTCTATAAATTTATTGATAAATGTTAATCTTCCCTGTTGTGTGTTTACTATATGTATAATTGTCTTCTCTTAATATCTATTATTCAGGAAGGGCACATTGTAACGCCCGTGTTTATGGGCTTGCCATTTTTAGCAATGTAATAGTCTAGGTTAACCTTTGTAACTCAACTTGAAATAATAAGAATGTATTATTTGTGAATTATGTGAATTATGTGATTTATGTGTTTATTTTCTTGATTTTTATAATTTAATGAATTAAGAATAAAATAAGCGTCAAAATTAAAGTGTGAGATAAGCCCGACATCTTTGCATAAAGTTGTAGTGGTTGAAACAAGGATTCCGGAGATATAAGGAATGCCAAAATCCGAGTTATAACGAAGAAGTTATGACCTGTCGAAGTTTCGAGACAGAACCGGTATGACGATGAGTGACGTAAAATATGAATTTAAGATAGAGCGATATTTAGCCTTAACAATCTAAACGAAAGTCGTAGATTTCGTTAAACCGAGAGCGTGCATAAAAGGAACGCCCAAATCTGACTTCGTATGAGGAAGTTATGATTTTCTGAAGTTTCGACGTGGCAGTATGCAGCCCGAATACTTGATTTGAGATCGAGCGGTTTTTAGCTGAAACAATCTAAATGAGAATCGAAGATCTTGTTGTTAGTAGCGAAGCAATGAAAAGTTAGGCGAGAACGGATGTCAGACGAAGAAGTTATGAATTTATAACGAAGTTTTTCTGTCCCGGCCTTCTAAAAATAAATAATAAAAATAAAAGTGAAAATTAGCCGACGGAGTCTAAATGAAAGTTGTAGAGTACGGTCTGACCTTCGCGTGGATATAAAAAACGTCGAAAACGGAGCTCGTATGCGAAAGTTACGCAATTTAGAAGTTTGACAAGTCAATTACGCCCCGCGTACTCAGTCGGTTGCAACTTGTCTGACCAATACTCGAGTGCCACCAGTCGACGCACGCAGTGACGTCAAAGTACGCCCCGCGTAACCCGAGTACGCCCCGCGTAATCCCAGACCCAGCAGCCTATAAATAGAACTCGAATTCAGCCATTTTCTCTTGTTCAAACTCTTCTTTCTCTCTAAGTTTTGCCTCGTTTTGCGTGCCGTTTATACCCCGAAGCCCCGGTAATATTCTCGAGCCCCGAAGCAAGATCCGAAGCCCCGAGAATCCCGAAGAGCGTTATTCCCGAGCCGAAACGCTGCCCGCGAGGAGCCCGATTTTGTGAAGATCTTCCAGATCTACGGAGAAACACCTCTTCTGCAAGCCGTAGTGCTGCCCGATCATCTTCTGATCATGTGAGTGTGTAGTTACTTTCATTCCAACACAATATTATGAAGTATTTCCTATAAAATACGTGTTAGTGTATATATTGGTTGTTATACGTGTGAGTGTATATTCACTCTCTTCTATCTTATAGATCTGAAGTATTCTCTATGAAATACGTGTTATGTGTGTATGCCTCATCTGTTATGTGAAAAATGTTTTGATTGAGCATGCTATACAGGTTTTGAAACTACGTATAAAAATGTATATTTTATCTACTAATATGTTGGGTAGAATATGGGTAGATAGTTGGTGTGTAATAAACAGATGAGAGGCCTCGATGTTGTTTTGATCCAGTCATCTAGCGGAATTTAGATGACGACCACGGACTTTTCTAGATAGTCCAGTGGAACGCTAGCAGGCTCATAACCTGTAGGTGTTAATGAACTTGGGTGTTCATTCGCTGTATTCCATCCCCCCATGGTTGCCTTATTTGACTTATATTGCTGAGGAACCCCCGAAGCATGTGTAGTCGCCCCGATGAAATATTCTTAGACTAGGTCCCTTGTGTTAGTTATTTAGGGACATAAAGTGAGAATAACGGGAATGGGTAACTGGGTTATTGTTGGTTGATAATAATTAATTTAATTATTTATTGTGGGTTGAA